TTACTTTGTTTATAATTGTTAATACTTTCATACACCCACATAATTATGTTATTATTACCAAAAACAGGTGTTGAAACTGAAAAATGTTCTGAGACGGACCCTGAATCCGGCAGTGCAGCCAGTATCACCAGCACTACCGACGTCAAAGTATAAACCTGTCCGTCACTTGATGTGAAAACTTTACAGGATATTGTGGATGAGAACCTCTCAAAATCAAACCCAAATAGGGAGTTAACTATTTCGACGTAAGACAATAGACAATAAAGAATATTCACAAACAACACAAATCTACAATTCAACATTACCTCCTTACCCCACTGACGTAGCAATGTAAAGCGTGGTTGGTGTATCGTCCGCAAAGTTTGCAAAACTCTTAACCGATCTTAACATTATATGATAATAACATTAACATACATAAATGAAAACACATTAGGCCCACTTACTGTTACAGTTGTTTGTACCCTGGAGCATGTCATCCGTTCACTTCCAGAATGGCTTGGTGTCCGAAATCTTGAACCATGTTCCCAAGAGACGAGTTCACACTGACGACACTGAATGGCATACCTGTAAGGCCCTGGTGTAAATGTTATTGGTATCGTGATGAAGAAGATTGCTAACCTCTCTGGCCTCAATAAAGTTTGACTCGACAGGCGAGTTAACACTATCTTTGAAAGGGGTAATAAAATATATACGTATTCCTTAATTTGATTATGCGTATTTTGAAGATACACATGCCTTTCAATTGCAAAATAAAAGAAGAACTGTGAGAAAGAACTTAATTTATGAATGTTTTGTGAAGGCGTGACCACTCCTTTGGAAAAATGAACAATCATAATTGGAGTACCTTGACACCAGTGATTGGTTTCGCGGCATCCCATGTCATGCATTTCGCCGATGGTAAGCACGTGGACACATTTCGCTGATGACAGTTCAGTTGCATCATGCTCTAATGAATGAGTTCCTCCTCGACACGATTTTAAAAAACTTTCATATTACAATTAGATCATAAATATCACGTTTTGTTAAATTTTGCGTGATGTATGCTGAATGGATGTACGAAATGTCTTTCATTTGAACACTCCACATTTCGGAATGAGATTCAAATGAAATTTTCGTACATCCATTCAGCATAACATCCTAATTAATGTCTTCTCATCTTATCGGGCTTCTTGTATTATCATGCCTTTGTGATATATATGAGAAAAAGACATCAAGACATAAGGAACGCATGTGTTAAGAATATGCTATGGCTACAAACTCTTTTTCTCTCGCAATACTGTTTGGTAAAAGGTATGACGTGCGCACGGAATGAGCCAGTGACGAAAGTATATTGTTGTTTCAACAGCGTTAGAACACCCAGACATTTTGTTAAGGACGGGGATCACCAGCAATCTGTGTTTGTTGTAAGTGGCCATTGGTGGTCTGGCTCGCTGACTTGGCTGATTTACATGTCATTGTATCCCAATAGCGTGAATCGATGCTCGTGTTTGTCAAGATTCGAATATTTACAGACCGCCGTCACATAGCTGGACTATTGCTGTGTGCGGTGTGAGACATAAAAAGAAAAAACAAACATATATTTCTCCGTCGTACTTGTATTAAACCTTTGCCCCATGCCCTTTAATGTTTTCAATCGTGTATATGCCTGGCAAGTTCCTTCCCAGGTTAAACACCACTTGCGTCTCTTCGGTTTATCTCGCGATCAACACAGTACCAACGGCAGAATGGGAATATTTTACATGCCCACCTTTCACAAATGCGTCATTGCGCGTTATCAACAGGTTTGCGTCAGACAGAAGTTAAACAGTACTTCCTTCATACAATCTTTCCAGTGCTGACAACTAATTATGCAGATTGCAGATTTTAAACTTTATGTATTTTACACGCATAAGATATAATCATAACATTCATCACGTGGTATTCATGGCACATATGTTAGGAATAGTGGTCATTGTTTAGTGGGCCAAGCATATGTAAAACTTAACATGTATTTTTAACACATCCAAGTTTCCAGGACATTTAGTAATAGAAAGGTAACATTCATTGGAGTATACATAGTGGGTCGATCAAATGGATATTGTTAACTGGATCAAGCGTATGTAAAAGTCACTATATCACAGGTGTATGCTGCAAGATGAGTCGTTGCAGCCACAAGTAATGGGATTTACACCCTGAGCAACCTTGCCCACGTTCTGTAACACGTTCCTGTAATTGAACAACGTGGATGAAACGGTGTCCGTGTGGGAAAATGAAACTGTGTCTGGTTGTTTCTCTTCCGTGTAAGCATGTATCAGTGTATACTTTGATATGTAATTAGTTGTGCAAGAATACAAGCGTGTGAATTAACCTTAAGAAATATAAACACTGTTTGAAAAAGTATTTGGTCTTATGTCAAATGAGAACAACATCATGAGCTCAGCATATATGTTCAGACTTTCAAATATTAATATTTGATCTTTAAAAACGTCAACCCCAGATAATAACCAGTCTCGAATATCGGCCGAAACAGACCTTACGGAAATGTGACCTGAAAGGATGCATTTCTGATGTGCCACATGACCTTCTAAAATGCTGTCTTTAGTTAATACATATATTGGACATAGTCCTGTATTGCTTGCAGTGTACTTTAATGTACAGCATGTTCCCACAAATGACCCGACATCATAGATAATAAAGTTCTTTAATACAAATGTATCTGCTTCATAAGGATTTTGGAGACCTGTCAACAATTGTAGTACAGAAGTTGAGCATCTGCCGCTATCTTGTCATTGGTTACAATGAATATGAAAATCACTCAAAAACCTTGCCATGATCACCAGGTTTGTTTTGATGCCTCGTACACGCACCATTTGCTTCATGATTGAAAGTATCATGGTATAGGGGTTCCAACTCAAAGCAAGTACGTGATCTGTCTTTTCACGTGGATGTATTTCTCTGAGTTGCTCTTGTGTGTGTGAGGCGCTATATAGCGATCAGTTTAAGTGTAGCACGTCAGTTGTTCAGTATGTGAAGATGGTTGGTTAACAATGTAATAAATATTGCCTCATATCTAAACTAATTACATTAAAAGAGAATCAAATAAGTCAAACAGAAAGATGATGTGTCTATAATTCGCGAAAACACATGCAAAGCACATAAACATAGCGTTTGGGGATCAATTTTACAGCTTCATCCAAACGTAACCGCCTGTAAAAAACGTGCAGCACAGGATCCCCAGGGCCAGGCACTTTGGCGCATCCAGACAGACAATCACCGAACTGTGGACCCGATACAACAACACCAACAGAGTTGACGACAGACCAAGGTCAGGAAGACCAAGGGTGACAACCCAAGCACAAGATCGATACATCCGGCTGCGACACCTCCGAGACCGCACTACCACAGCCACGTCTACAACCACACAGATCCCTGGGGTAAGCAGAATATCAGATCAAACGGTACGCAACAGACTGAGGGAGGCTGGACTTTTTGCACGAAGACCTGTTCGACGTCATGTATTGACCCCACGTCATCTGGCGGGCCGTCTGCTTTGGTGCCAACAGAGGGTTAGATGGGCACGTGCAAGGTGGCGAAATGTACTGTTTACTGACGAGTCCCGTTTCCTACTCACACGTGCTGATGGGCGCGCACGTGTCTACAGACGTCGGGGTGAAAGTTACGCCCCCAACTGTGTGCAGCAGGTTGTCCCATTTGGTGGCGGGAGTGTCATGGTATGGGCCGGGATTCATCACGGTGGTAGGACGCCTCTCGTGCATGTGGCAGGTGCATTGACAGGTGTGCGTTACAGAGACTTGATCCTACATCCTTACGTTCTTCCTCACGTCAACGTTCATGGCGGACAGTTCCAGCAGGACAACGCTCGACCGCATATTGCACGTGTTTGTCAGGACTTCTAACAGCACAACAACATCCAGATATTACCTTGGCCAGCCCGGTCACCAGATTTGTCCCCGATTGAGCATCTGTGGGACGAGTTGGATCGACGCGTTCGCAGAAGGAATCCACCGCCCAAAACACTTCCGGCGCTTCTTGATGCACTTCAGCATGAATCGCACCACATCCAACAGCGTGTTATTGATAACTTGATTGCATCCATGGGTCGTCGGTGTCAAGCGGTGATTGATGCACGTGGTGGGCACAACCGATACTGACATTTTCTGTACCCCTGTGACATTAACTGTATCGTGTACGTGTGTCTGTGACACGATTAATGTTTTGAACATTGTGTACATTGATCTTCAAACAGTGTTTCAATTATGGTTTCTGTGTCCTATTTTGAAACAATCGCCTTATATTACATTTTGAAAGTCAGTGTCAAGTTTCTTTTTTTTTTAAGAGTATATATAACTCCACGCTTCCAGCCTAGTTCGGCATGAGTGGAAACTGGACTTTTATAGTCAGATAACTCCCTTGCCTCGGGAAGATCTTCCGCAACAGCCCCCAACAATCTATGCTTGCTGTAAAGTGGCGACTAAGATGTGTGGTCAGGCTCAAAGACTTGGTTGATAGCCTATGATCGTTTCCCGACGCGTGGGATGTTGCTGATGATATTAATCACCGAGTCGTCTGATCAATTATTTACAGTCAGCTATCAAATAGCTGGGATGTTATAAAGCGTTTCGCATTGTACACATTTACTATGAGACTGTAGATTATCTGAGACTGACTTTGTGGTTTACATCTATTCTTAATAACATTATCCATTTTACAAAGAAATGCAACTCTAATCAGCTGTTCCCTGTTTGTACGGAAGCGTAGTAGGGCCACGGTGAAAATTTGTTTTGTCTAAGTATCTCCTACTTAGGACTTAGTATCTCCTACGTAGGACATAGTATCTCCTAAGTAGGACTTAGTATCTCCTACGTAGGACTTAGTATCTCCTACGTAGGACTTACTATCTCTTACGTAGGATTTACTATCTCTTACGTAGGACTTAGTATGGCCTAGAATCACTATCTAAGTCCTACGTAGGAGATAGTAAGTCCTACGTAGGAGATACTATGTCCTTCGTAGAAGATTGGCCCTACTACGCTTCCGTATGTTTGCGAAATAGGAGGTTGGAGACACAAAATTAACTTTAAACTATTGCTTGGTATTAAGGGATACGGTGCGCGGGTACGAGGACGGTTGGGTTAGTGTATTAGTGTTCAGTGAGTGAGTGAGTGAGTGAGTGAGCCTTGTTGACGCTTTGAGCAATATTTCAGCAATATCACGGTTGGAGATACTGTTCATTGCACCCATGTCAGAAATCGAACCCAGTTCTTTCAGTGACAAGTCAATGTTTAACTCCAGAGCCCCACAGGGGGCAGGGGTGGCCTAGTCGTCTAAGGCCCCGCAATTCGCTGTGCAGAGTTTCGTTCTTTGATTGTGGGTTCGAATCTAGGTTCGCCCCGATTGTGTTTCAAGGTTTGTATGCACCATACCTGTGGGCGTGGGTTTCTACAAAGTGGTAAACGTCTGAGACCTGCATCACTTCGAGCTTTCCTCCCACATTAAGCTGATATGACGTGTACTGTTAAAAGCAGCGTTCAACTCATTCACTCACTCACTCACTCACTCGTAGAGACAATGAATAACTCTATGCGTTGTATTTCTATATCGATAGTTTATCGAGTACAACCAGACGGAGTTTCTACCTAGCTCCACGAAGAAGCGGTTCCTGTTGGTGCCAGACAGTCTCCTCATGTCCCCCCTCAAGGCGTACGCGTCCATGAGCAGTATGGTGGGGACGATGCTCACATCGGGGATTGCCGCCTCGACCAGCATCTGGGATTGGTGGAAAAAGTTCTTTAACGGTACAGTGCACGTGCTCAATGAGGGCCAGCTAGCAGTCATGAAATATCTGTCTGATGTGCTGTTTGTTTGGTATCACCCCATTTGCCAGATACCCCATTTGTTTTGTTGTTTGTGTTGTTGTTTTTATTATTTTGTTTTTTTTATTTTGTTTTTAAAAATGATAGATCTTTATTCTCACTGTAGTGATTGCTCTTAGAATATATGTCCGATATGCACATCATAACTGTGACAACTGAATACCCCATTTGTTAGATACCTGAAAAGCCACGGTTGAGTTCTCCACTATCCAAGTAGAATTTTCACTTCTGTATTTCAACACCATCAATAACATAGAGAAATGATTGAAACACATTTTTTTCATGTTGATTCTGCTCCTCTTTTTTTATGTTATTATCTCGAGGTTCATTTTGCTTTAAACACACTTATCTGTGTTAGATTAGGTTAGGTTAGGTTATTTGTTGTTTAACGCAGCATATATTCCAGCTATATGACGGCGGTCTGTAAATAATCGAGTCTGGACCAGACAATCCAGTGATTTACATTATGAGCATCGATCCATGCAATTGAGATACGATGACATACATCAACCAAGTCAGCGAGCCTGACCATCCGATAACGTTCGTCGCCTCTTACGACAAGCATAGTCGCCTTTTACAGCAAGCATGGGTTGCTGACGACTTTCTTATGTTCTTCACAAATAATATAAATTAATATCATGCCAAAAATATATATAATCCTATTGTAATTGAGTAGATCAATTATTTTCCCATTAAATTAAAACGTCATTATTTATTTGATCTTAATTGAGAGCTTAATGCTTCAAGATGTGTAATTAAGATCAAATAAATAATTAGGTCTATTAGGACTTGTCCATCACCACAAAGGGTAAATCTCATGTGTTTTGACAAGTCATCTCTACCACCCTGGGGCGTCTGACAATTGGGGTAGGGCCGTTTGTTTATAGAGTGTATTCTACTTGATGTGTGTTCAAATGTTGACGCGTATAAACGGGAATGATTAAACACCAGCTTTTGGCCGATCGTATGTGTATTAACTACATGTTGTTCGATTCTGCGTAAAACACACACAAAAATCACATTTACCAACATATACTCAAGTTTCCTGTGTACAAATATGCATGAAAAAAATAAAAACTGTTTTAGAATTACTCTAACCTTTGACCTTAGGTTTCGGAGGCATCGGAGGGTCCCTCCCAAGCCTGAGTGGGTCAGGGGCGTCACACAGCATGGACAGCACCGCCTACGCCTACATCCCCTCTGGCTGTTACGACAGCACCGTTGGTATGGTTTGCTTCATCATCATTGTACTAGGGTGAATACACAATGCCAATAACATTTTATTAGCACAAATTCTAGTACGATATGGGAGCCTCACCCTGAGAGTGTGGGTTCGAATCCCAGATCCCCCAAAAGTAATAGAATTAGTACTTTACTAAGAAAGAGTAATCCCAAATGTAACATTTGTTACATAGTTAACAAGCGACACAATCATTTCCATAATCTTAAAAATCTTAATCCACTGCAAAACCCTACTGATCTATATCATACGCATGGGGTTATGAATCACTATATAATAGAAGATATCATATGAGTGTCCATGTCATACTATGTTTACGACACGAGTGTTTCAATCCCAGTAGTTCCCGATCGAGAGCGATTGTCGTAAACATAGTATGACATGAATACGAATATAATGTTCTATTTATCGCCGAAGAAGATGTCTACATACAGAGACGAATTTTAGTGTTTACCTATGACAGCAAATCGCAACAGCAGCGGAACCACAATTTGTCGAATGACGTCAACAATCTTCAGCTACGACGTCGTTTCTAGTCTGACACTCGTGCCTAAATCCCAGTAGTTCCCGAGCGACAGCGAGTGTCGTAAACATAGTATGACATGAACACGAATATAATATCCTCTATTTATTTCCCACGGTGTATGAAATGACCCAGTTCATAACATTCGTTTGTGCAATAGGGCAAAGATCTCTTCACGCGCACCAGTGTATTGTTTACGTCATCCGGACAGCATTGATGACGTCATTCGAATCTTATTGTGACGTAAGGTCGGAAAGATGTCACACAAGACAGAACCTCCCAGCTGAAGATGTGTTGGGACAATTGTGGTTTTCTGAGATGGCAGTCTTTATCGTTCTTTGTGATTTATCGCGTAGCTATCTTATTTTGCACAAGGGGGCACGGGTGGCCCAGTCGTCTAAGGCGCCGCGATTCGCTGTGCAGAGTTGCGTCCCTTGGGCACGCCAGAAACCTATGAGTGTGGGTTCGAATCCCGGTTCGCCCCGATTATGTTTCTAGGTTTTGTCAGCACCATACCCGTGCTCGTGGGTTTCACCGAAGTGGTAAACGTCTGAGACCTGCATCACTTCGGGCTTTCCTCCCACATTAAGCTGACACGCTCTGATATAACTGGAATACTGTTAAAAGCGGCGTTAAACCCAACTCACTCACTCACTCTTTTGCACAATAAAACACCGAATTTTACTGATACATTATCCGTAGATAAACTTTTATAGTTTTGCATATACTTTAAATCTCATAGTTACTGATCTCTTGAGTTAGATATAGATGTACCATTTCATATTGTGGGGGTAAGAAAAAACACCCGTCCCGGAATCACCCCCGGGGTAGATAATGGCCGCCCCCTTACTTTACTGCTTGATTATTCGACAGTCTGCAAGCTTCATGTTGTCTTCCATGGATGCAAAATGCAAAGGTACGTGGGACTTTGTTTGTTTGTTGCTATATTCCTAGTGTCAGTAATTAAGTTAGGCATTATATAAGAACATACGAGGGGATATCAGAAAATTTTGACTTAGGAATTTCTTGGTTATTGTTATGCTTCTATGTGACATTATACAAATGATTCCTCTTGACGAGGCGAAAACAAGGACTCGAGGACCGAACCGTGAGGTCCGGTCAGACCGCCGCATAGGTCAGGTCTGACGGTCCTTGTTCTCGCATATTGATCTCGTCAAGAGTGATCATACGTTTTGTTATACCGAAATTCACTTTAATGTTTATGAAGTCTCTAAACTGTCCTCTGTAACTTCGCTGCGAACCGTGAAGTGTTCGTACCAGACGCCATCTTGTTTTCCAGCAGACGAGTCAATATTCATCACGTGACAAGTCAATACTCACTGACTTGGTTGATACATGTCATCGTATCTCAATTGCGTGGATGGATGCTCATGATGTCAATCGCTGGATTGCCTGGTCCAGACTCGATTATTTACAGACCGCCGTCATATAGCTGGAATATTGCTGAGTGCGGCGTTAAACAACAAACAAACAAACATTTCACATACCTCACCTTGAAGTTTGTTGTTTAACGCCCGAATCTTCCCGGGTCACTCACATCATTTGGTATTGATACATGATCTACAGATAAGACACCCATATCGTAGCACCGGACGTTCGTGACCCCCTCAATCTATCTTTGTTGACACAGGGAGACAATCGGTGATGTGTTCGCAAAGCATGCCGGGTACAACGAAGTGGCGGAGCTCAACAACATCATCATCTTGTACCCCCAGATAAAGTCGGACAGCATCTCCAACCCCAACGGCTGCTGGGACTGGTGGGCGTACACTGGAGCAAACTACGGTCAGTTGTTGGCTAGTTTCTTGTCTCATTCCCTCCAACACCCAGCTGGCAAAGAGCATTAGTTTAACCTGAACAAAAACAGAAAGTTGAATTTTTCTGGAGATCTTCAGAAAGTCATACTGATACCCCAAGTTTTCCCTGATGGCATTTTCAAAATGGCCGCCATTTCTAAGAGGACCGCCAATATTACGTAAATATGAAATTTTGTTGTTTTACATTCATGATATCATTCAATATAGAATATTGTGTGAAAGCTTATAAAAATACCTTCAATTTGATAATTTGCATGATATGATAGTAAAACAACAAAAAATTCATATTATTTACAAAAATAATTACACACGACACACATGAGATACTTGGCACCTTTGCTGAGGAACAAAAAAATGGGTATCCGAAGTGCATGAAATGCCTCACACAAAGTTTCGAGCAGTTTATTCTTTTCGCAACCAACGGCTATTTGACTAAGAATTGGTCACGCCTACATCCATCAACCTGCCACCAAGGGCGGTTCCAGCATTTTAAAAAGTCCAAAAAATTCAAAATCCTGACTCTAGATAATTTTACTGCCTATAATATACAATTCTAAATTTGGTTTTCAAAAGGGGGAGGGGGTATGGACCCCCGGGACCCTTCCCTCCACTCCCTTTCTGGATCCGCCTATATGTAAGTAACTGCATCGGCGGATTCGACATCTGGGCGGAGTTGGGGCGGTGGGGTAGCCTAGTGGTTAAAGCGTTCGCTCTTTACATCGAAGCCCCGGGTTCGATTCCCGACATGGGGACAATGTGTGAAGCCCATTTCTGGTGTCCCCCGACGTGATATTGCTGGAATATTGTTAAAAGCGGCGTAAAACCATATTCACTCACTCTGGGCGGAGTCAATTCGGACCAGACCAGACCAAGTCGTAGATGGTGGGAGTTGTTAGAACACCTCATTAAAAGAGTGTTAGACAGTTACAGGTTGATGAATGTGATTGACTGGGTTCATGCTTTCAGAGCATATTTGTCCCGGCACAGACTCCGTTAATTCAGACGTCTTTACTTCAGACTTAACGGATATATTCACGCTTGGTCTATCGGTTGTATATTACCCGGTCAATGCCCGATCAACCTGTGTTGAGTCGTTACCCCATTGTGATGACGTCACGCTATTGTTGTTGCTGTTTATTCTGAGCCCGGAGTTCACTGGCCATTCTGAACTGCATTCAACCAAGTAGAACCGACGCAACTATAGGTCATTAAGCAAAATTATAGAGACCTTATATATCAATCATAACATGACATGTCGGAGAAATCACCAAATCACTGTTTATTCCGACGAAAGTAATGTCAAAGCATGCCCGTGATTTCTTTATTTCAGAGAAAACTTAAATTCGTACTGCTGGGATTGGTAAGTGTGTGATCTATCACATTCCATTGTTTACTACAATTAATTTTCTGAGCGAATCCATGTCAACGATCTGCTTCACTGTGTATGTTTCAGACACGAGGGACGGCGTGCAGATGAAGGCCGTGAAGAACATGATTGACAGGGTGACAGGTGACAACCAGTGAGTGGTGTACCTAGCAGCCTGAAATAGACATGGTATTCCTCGTGGCTCATGTCTATTCTGTTCCTGGATTTTTGTCGTGTAAATAAACTAAGATTGTACATGTGGCTCAACCAGGTCTGTGGGGGCGGTGGGGTAGCCTAGTGGTTAAAGCGTTCGCTCGTCACGCCGAAGACCCGGGTTCGATTCCCGACAATGGTACAATGTGTGAAGCCCATTTTTGGTGTCCCCCCGCCGTGATACTGCAGGAATATTGCTAAAAGCGGCGTAAAACCATACTCACTCACTCACTCAACCAGGTGTGTGCTTGACTGAGATTGTTTTTCTGCCACCAATGCGTTCATTATTTGTATTTCAACAACCCCCTGGGGATCCCTGGTTAGACAGTTGGTCCCCAACAACCGATGCTGGTCGTAAAAGGTGACCAAACGGAACGAGTGGTCTGCTTGTTGACTTGGTTGATAGCGTGTTATCGACCCCCGACGCGTGGATCGTTCATCATAATGTATCAATCACTGGTTTGTTTTGCCCAGGCGAGTACGGCATAAAACAACAAATCCTCTTTAACTGTAGTTTTTTGTTTTCATAAGCTGAGTATCCATGTGAGATTAATATTAAACAGAATGTATGACTTTATAACATAAAAAACTCGCACTCATTTTAGCGCATGTAAAGAAGTTAAATGAAATTAGACACCTCACGTTCCTGTCTAAACACTCATAAACTGAAATATCAGCCTCACCTTTAGCGAGTGAGTGAGTGAGTTTGGTTTAACGCCGCTGTTAATATCAATATTCCAGTAATACCCGAACCTTTGGGTGACGAGCAATAGAGGTTATCACGCGAGTGTGTTTGGGGATGGTAAATATCCTGCATTAGGAATAAACATTGTATTTAGCGGGCCTTGGCGAGCTAAATACATAGTGTTTATTCCTAATACAGGATATTTACCATCCCCAAACACACAAGCGTGATAACCTCTTTATCATATAATGTCATTCTTTAATTCTGTGCTTGAAAATCGCTTTCCCTCTCTCACAAACATTACCGAAAAATTGCGAGTTTTCCTGGAATGCGCGCATTAATATTTATTACGTCACAGGGTAAGTGATGTGTCACTCGGACAGTGACAGTAGCCAATATATTTCCAATGGAATCCGTTTCTTACACAGTGGCGAAGCAACATATACGCAAAACAAAATTGTTTTCACTTGCATTCGCGTTCAGAGATTGTTGACAGTCGGCCTGTCCTGTCATAACGTTAAGAAGTGCTGTCAGATGTACACACAGCGACAAAACGAAACAAGGTAACAATTCAAACATATTTCGGCCAAATCCAACTATTTTAATTTGCGGAAAAGGTTTCAAGCCGCAGAGGTCTACAAGCACAGATATGGCTACTGATCCCGCTTGGCTAGGCCTAGTGCCCTCGCAAAATTGTTTCGAAATTTATATCTCCAAAGTTGCCAAAACTTATAAAATGCCTTAGCTACGTCACAGTTAGACACTGATTTTCAGTATATTAGACTGTTCTTTTGATGATGATAGCAATTATCTCTGTAGTTTATCCAGATTCCCGATGGTTATTTCTGACTCGATTGCCGAATGACAAGGGCGACGCCATGTTTGTTTATAAAACACTGAAAGTAGTCCCTACTTGACCTTTGATATTTGCATCTCTATCCGCATATGACCCCAACGGATATCGTTTTTATCCGTTGGCTTTATCCTGCCGGGAAACCTACTCATTGTATGATAAAATGCTATATCCACTAGGTTACCCCACCCCCTAGACTAACATTTATAGAGCTAGCTTGAGCTGGCTAGACTTGCTTTTGTATGCATTTCTAGATTATGTTTTTTTCATAAAATAAATATATTCCACGGTCATGGTGCAGGACTACCCACCCCCACATATTCATGCATATCGTGCATGTAAGTAGTTGAAGCGAACGTAAAATGACATTCACTCTCTGAACAAGAAACGGATGTACGTAATTGTGTTGTCACGATAAATGTCAATTTGACGTTCGACAAAGGTCAGAAACTCAACAGTTGACAACCGACAACTGCGCTTTAGCCTGCACAACACGCGGCCTTGGAGGGGTGGGGGGTAGCTTTGGGGGTGAGGTGGCTAGCCGTTTCACAGTGGTAACCTTACCATCTGTAATCTAGCATATCTACCACAAATCGCTATCACCACAACAACCTGCTAAAAATATGTTGTTTTGAGAAAAATGGCAAAACATGATTAACGAATTAAGCTACGTAATCAGGTAGTAATATATACTAGGTCAGGTAAACAAACTAACACTGTCTGTCTAACCACCTAGTTCAGATTTCCAATAGGACAACAACAACTTTGTCGACGTGATGGCCTAGTTAAAATACATTTCGTCAGCCGTTCCCTGCTGAGAGCCAGCCAACTGCGTTGAGCGGGCAGACAGTTGAACGATAACAATCCAACAGTGTTACACCAACGGCATATTGGCCACATGCTTTCGACACAAATAACCAAACTTACTGGAAGCGAATGGTTTATTTGTGAAATAAAACTCACAATGAGTTTGTGTTTAACGCCGCTTTGAAAAGAGCATGACACGACGTGTTAGTTTCATAGGGAGGAAAGCCATGGTGACGGAGGTCTTAGATGTTTATTGTCGAAACCCAGGTGCACCTGGTGCTGACAAACCAAGAATCGTGATGAGGGGGAATCGGGGATTCGAACCACGATCATAGAAATCAGTTACGCTTAAGGGACGCCTAGGTGTGTGATAAACAGTTAAAATGTACGATATATATGTATTCTAACTAGTTTCTGAATATCATGTATTCGGGGCGAGATAATGCGGCACTAAGCTTCACATGTCTACACAAGCACACATCCCTGTCACAATATTACGATTCTCTGACGCTCTGGCTAACCCAGTTCACATACGCCAGTGGTTAAAGCGGCCCCTCGTCACGCCGACGTGATATTGCTGGAATTTTGCTAACATCGGCGTTAAACCGTACTCTCCCAAGGTAGCAGTTGGGATAAAATATAACTTTATCAAAGATTAAAAAAAATTTGCAGTCCTCTTAAACCCATGTCTTAAGAAACATTAAGATTTGTGAACCCTTCCCTAACTGGGGAACCCATGCTTGTCGTAAAAGGCGACTAACGGGATCGGGTGGTCAGGCTCGCTGACTTGGTTGATGCATGGCATCGATCCAAATTACGTGGATCGATGCTCATGATATTAATCACTGGATTGTCTGGTCCAGACTCGATTATTTACAGACCGCCGTCATATAGCTGGAATATTGCTAAGTGCGGCGTTAAACAACAAACCAACCAACCAACCCTAACTGAGGGGAGTGTCTGTTACATGTTACCCGTTTTCCAATACAGCTATCAGTTATATCAGTTGAACTTGCCGACGAGGGCGGTGTCAGGGTCCGCGGCGTCATCCGGCGTCGTCACAAAGTCTATAGAGATTGGGAGGTGTACTGAAGTCATATATATAAGTTGACCTTTCTAACGAGACCGATACGACTGGGTGAATTTCCACAGTATTCTATTCACGAATCATTGAAATATTCCAATGACGTTTCTGTCACTCAAACGTCAACTGTGGGCCTAACCTGGTTTGCAGGACGTTTAGTGGTCGGCGTTTCACCAATAGTTCGTGTAATTAATGTGTATTACTAGCCGGGGCCTGACACGGCATGTTATTTACTTTTGATGTACGAGGGTAATTATAGACGAGGACGAATTGAAACAAAACTTGGAACATCACCTGAAACAAAGAGCGTAGTCCTAGAGGGCCACCTGAAACAAAGAGCGTAGTCCTAGAGGGCCACCTGAAACAAAGAGCGTAGTCCTAGAGGGCCACCTGAAACAAAGAGCGTAGTCCTAGAGGGCCACCTGAAACAAAGAGCGTAGTCCTAGAGGGCCACCTGAAACAGAGCGTAGTCCTAGAGGGCCACCTGAAACAAAGAGCGTAGTCCTAGAGGGCCACCTGAAACAAAGAGCGTAGTCCTAGAGGGCCACCTGAAACAAAGAGCGTAGTCCTAGAGGGCCACCTGAAACAGAGCGTAGTCCTAGAGGGCCACCTGAAACAAAGAGCGTAGTCCTAGAGGGCCACCTGAAACAAAGAGCGTAGTCCTAGAGGGCCACCTGAAACAAAGAGCGTAGTCCTAGAGGGCCACCTGAAACAAAGAGCGTAGTCCTAGAGGGCCAACTGAAACAGAGCGTAGTCCTAGAGGGCCACCTGAAACAAAGAGCGTAGTCCTAGAGGGCCACCTGAAACAAAGAGCGTAGTCCTAGAGGGCCACCTGAAACAAAGAGCGTAGTCCTAGAGAGCCACCTGAAACAAAGAGCGTAGTCCTAGAGGGCCACCTGAAACAAAGAGCGTAGTCCTAGAGGGCCACCTGAAACAAAGAGCGTAGTCCTAGAGGGCCACCTGAAACAGAGCGTAGTCCTAGAGGGCCACCTGAAAGAGAGAGCGTAGTCCTAGATGGCCACCTGAAACAGAGAGCGTAGTCCTAGAGGGCCACCTGAAACAAAGAGCGTAGTCCTAGAGGGCCACCTGAAACAAAGAGCGTAGTCCTAGAGGGCCACCTGAAACAAAGAGCGTAGTCCTAGAGGGCCACCTGAAACAAAGAGCGTAGTCCTAGAGGGCCACCTGAAACAAAGAGCGTAGTCCTAGAGGGCCACCTGAAACAGAGCGTAGTCCTAGAGGGCCACCTGAAACAAAGAGCGTAGTCCTAGAGGGCCACCTGAAACAAAGAGCGTAGTCCTAGAGGGCCACCTGAAACAAAGAGCGTAGTCCTAGAGGGCCACCTGAAACAGAGCGTAGTCCTAGAGGGCCACCTGAAACAAAGAGCGTAGTCCTAGAGGGCCACCTGAAACAAAGAGCGTAGTCCTAGAGGGCCACCTGAAACAAAGAGCGTAGTCCTAGAGGGCCACCTGAAACAAAGAGCGTAGTCCTAGAGGGCCACCTGAAACAGAGCGTAGTCCTAGAGGGCCACCTGAAACAAAGAGCGTAGTCCTAGAGGGCCACCTGAAACAAAGAGCGTAGTCCTAGAGGGCCACCTGAAACAAAGAGCGTAGTCC